GAGAATAAAAGTTACGCTTTCTTTCTTTGCGTGAACATTTGGGCTGTGTTATGCAAATCTTCCCACATCGTGACGTAGGTATGTGGGGGCGTGTTAGAACGAGCCGTTTTAGGTAGGCGTGGTTAATTCTCTTTGGATTTATCTCTTTGGTTAATCTCTTTGGTTAATTTGAGACTTTAGTCTTTGCAACTTTACAGATCTTCTTTATGCACCAAGAGCTTGTAACACTTCAAAGAGAAAGGAAAAATTGAAATCGCATCATATGACCCCTTTAAATAAATGTGTGTGTGTGTCTGTCTGTTTTTTTTAATCCTACATCATGTCATGTGCATTGGTTACAGAGCCCAGCCAGCGTGGACTCCTGCAAACGTTCAGTAAACGTTGGACACAGAGACAACAACGCAGAGATGTACAGGAGCTGAGTCCTCTAGCTGAGACCTCTAGCTCCGTCTGATGCTTTTATAATCCATAATCTATTGCAATCTGTTTTGCCGTTCCCTTTCATTCCAACTGGTGTAGGAATAATTACATATTATGTCTGGTTAAAACTTGACTGTGGTTAATTTATTAAAAGAACAAATATTATACACCTCAAGGGTCATTCCTGTTATGCATCATATCTTTTTAACTGTAATTAAAAAAAAAATTATTATGCATGTGTTGTAATTTATGAAAGCATTTATATAACATATTAAACATAGCTAATTCTTTTTTTTATTGAGAGTTAGCTAAAATAAGACTGTCAATTTGGTCATTTTGTTATATTTGAATCATCTTTTTAAATTTTGATATCATACTATAATGTTTTTAGGATGTTTTAGACACAAACCAATGTCACAAAACACAATTAGTCTCAAACTGTCATTTTGATTAGAGGAAGTTTTTTTTAATTGGAAAATTAAGAATAGTTGGTAATTGTGCATTACCTCAAACATGAAATGATTAAAAATTTATCTAATATTCACCCAATGTTCACTTAATAATTGTGATAAAACAAAATATGATTTCCATATTTAAAATATGGATATTGAAAATTGTGTTTAACCTTTTGTTCATTACATTAACACTTAAAATCTAACACAAAAGTACCCTAAATAGGCTATACATTTTTTAACACTTAAAAACACTCAAAACTCAATAACATTTAATGTCTCTTTAGTCATTTAAATGGTTCTATATACGAGGATACAACAACAACAACAACAAATGACGAGTTAAGACATAAAACTCACGACTGCATAATGAGAAAGACCCTGGCACACCTTGTCAAACTGTACAAAAGTTTGAATGTTGGCTATAGACACCTTTTATTTCAGAACATTTATGTTCTCAGTGATTATGAGTGATTGGAATCATGTGATATATTTGCATATTCAGTTCACTTTTAATGCATAACGACGTAATTAGTGAAAGATCACCTGGACTGATTTTAGGGGCAACGTGAAAAACTGTGTATATATATTGCCCTCTTGTGGTGGTGCTGCTTGTGACCGATAAACATCACAGGATGATGCAAATAAGATCCAGACACAATGAATCACTGTGCATAACATCAGTATACTTATTGCCACTATAATTAAATGCGTCCAGAAATGTCATTCGTTACCTATTTTACTGGCCAATAACGCACCGTTCATTTAAGTTCAGTGATAGATGGGTCATGTCCTCCGGCTATTAATTGACTGCAGAGCTGAAATGCTGTGACCCTAGATCGCGAATTGTCCTGCTGTGCTCTCATTTATATAACTAAAATTTACATCCGCACCAGACGGCTTAAATGCGGCGACCTGCCTATTCTGCGTCACTTCCGGCGCTGTATCCCTTTGATATATAGAGCCATTGAATAAAACAAGCTGCAATCATGCGTAACCGAGACAGCCGGGGGAGAAAAGTGGCCCCACTCGGACTGGGAGCTGTTTTCCCTCTAAATGTTGACTTTCCAGTCCTGAATAAAAACTCCCTTTCTTTTAAATTATGAGAAGAGGTTCTCGAGGGATCACCTCTAGGGTTTTTAACAGAATTATTCAATTCAACTGTGCACAGACGCTGTATTCTCAGAAACTACTGAATGTTGTTTTACTCAATATAGTAACTCTTAATGGATGTATCAGCTTTGTAAAGTTGTTGTGAGCGATTTATTTTGTGAAGTGATGTACAAATAAAGTATGAATTAAATTCAATGGATTATGCAAAACTGTAAAGCAGAATTGTTTATTCTGGATGTTTAAACCCATGGCCAGAGTCAAAGATATGCTGACGGCTTCATTTTAAGCTATGTACTGGCGGTGTGATATAATTAGCAGACCTAGTTACCAGAACTGACTTACAATACACAATTTGCACGGACAATCCCTCAGAATCTGTTCAGAGATTTAGATGTGACAGTAGCAAAGGTTACGTTGGTTTGCTTTACCTGAATTTGAACCTGCAAGACTAAACTGTTCGATAACAACTACTAGAACCACCAATAAGATACACTGTTTTCATCACCAAAGTAATGTGATTTTTGTGACCATTTAATATCTCTGCCACTTTAGATCAAAACATTTATTTTTGATCGTTTGCTTTCATGTTTTTAGTTTGGGATGGTCTGGTATTTCCTGCAATAGCTACCAGCAGTCAGAGCATCATATTTAAAACCCAGATGAGCAGACGCTGCTTGAGGAAAGAGATTCTTAAAACAAGACCACTGTCGAAAAAATCCTTGAAGACAACAGTATATGAGGGTATATACACAGGGTGACCAGTCCAAGGTTGAAGTTTTAGCAGCTTTTTGAGCAATAAACTGAAATGGAGTTACACATGAAAGCATAAATTAGAACTTTATTTTATTATTACAATATTACAAAAAAAGTGTAGCACAACTCACACTCTTCAGATTCTTCCCACGCATTCAATTGACAGCCACAGAGTGACAGATATGAGAAAGGCTTCTAGAAGCTTCCTCCAATTTCACAGCAATTGCAAAACGAAAAAAAAAAAAAAAAAGATGTAAATAATGAGGAAAAAAAAATCTAGTTCAGAATTATAAATAGCACAAATTGCAAAACTGAAGCTTTGAAACGTGGAATAAAAAGATTTTGTTACAGCCCAGAACTACACACAGCTATAAAACAATGACGATAAAATATTCTTTATTTCTTCGTTTACATTATAAAGTAATTCTAAAGAATTGCTTTTCTATTCAACAAAAGCTTGAGTTAATAAAAATAAACGAGGAAAAATGCTGTTCCTTTATAGTCTATTTTTCAAAATCAGAATTCATTATACCTTTATTAGAATCATGCTTGTTGTCAAAGGAAAGTCCAAGGACCAAATACTTAAGGCTTCATGAGGGCTGTTGAGGGGAGGCAAACCAACAGCGATTCAAGACAAACTGACCAACCAACACACACACCCCATCCACCATCACACACACATGCCCATACACACCAAATCTGTGAACCCATATTCATATACAGCCACATTCATACACAGTTATTACACTTCTTTAAAGTTACAGCAGTACAGTAGATAAGCCAGTGTACAATAAAATAAGCAATTCACCTGCTGTTTCACCTTTTTGCCTTTTTTATTTTAAAAAGTCCTCCTTAATTTAACCACAAATGATCTTGCAAGTGATCAATTTGGTCAATTCAAGCACACTTCACAAAAGAATCAGTAGCAACTCCTACTTTACATTATTATAAAGGATGAACTAGAAAACGCAGGATCATAAACCCTTGATTTGGTACATAGTTTCTACATCATAATATTAGCAACAAGCCTACAGACACCACCTTCAGTAGTATGTTTAGTCCTGCAAACCCACGTACAGCTAAACCACACACACAACCCACCTGAAACGGCACAACTCATCTATACAATTCAAGTAGTAGTTTCTCATATGTTAAGAAATAAAGAGAGTATAATGATCAGGTAAAACAAAAATGGCACAGCTTTAACATTAAAACATCTGTAGCTCTTCTCGTTTGGAAACCCACGTCAAGAGCTTTCACCTAGAAACAGTCTGCAAGGACCAGTGACTGGCATATTCCCGCATAGCTCAGACACAGGAAAAAAAGAAAGAAAGGACAAAGAACGTGTCATGCTGAAGAGGGAAGTGCTCCGAGTCTGTCAGCCATCTTGATATTATAAGACGGGCTCAAAACAAAGATCTGTCAAATGAAAGCAAGTTGGTTGTCCAATGAACAGAAGGCCTGGTGCCCTCAGTTTAGAA